TCTCTCTCTCTCTCTCTCTCTCTGTCTCTCTCTCTCTCTCTCTCTCTGTCTCTCTCTCTCTCTGTCTCTCTCTCTATCTCTCTCTGTCTCTCTCTCTCTCTGTCTCTCTCTCTCTCTCTCTCTCTCAATTCAGTAGTTACTTTATTGTCATGACAAATGTTAACCATAGCATTTATAAAGTTCACATAAAAAGTAACATACATATATAATAAAAAACACAGTAAACACAATAGATAGTGTGTGTATGTATATATATATATATATATATATATATATATATATATATATATATATATATATATATATATATATATATATACTATCTATTGTGTTTACTGTGTTTTTTATTATATATGTATGTGTGTGTGTGTGTGTGTATATAATTAAATAAAATACAAATAGTATATCATATTATTCAATATATTGTATTATTATTCAGTATATCGTACTAATATTCAATGCATCCTATTATTCACACAAATCAATAAGAAATAGTCAAGAGTTGCTTTACCTCAAATTGAGAAATGTGGTTACAGGACTGACAAAGCGTTTTAAGTGAAATATATAAAATATAAATTAAAAGCAATGGCAGACAATCAAGCAAACACACACAAAGGCGATTAAATAGAAACAAGTCAAATCTCTAATAACAGAATGTAAATAAGCTAAATGAATAAAGCATTCTTCTTATGTTGATGGTGTTGGTCTACACATATTCTTCATATTTCATCATTAATTCATTGTTAGTGTGTTTATGATGGGATGTATGCTGAATGCCTGACTGAGCTGCTAAACAGCGCCATCGGGTGGTCAAAGCGTGACTAAATATCGTCTGTGGGAGTTTTACTCAAGATTTATAAAATATGACCAATGGATGACGAGCTGGAAAATATGAACAATCCCTCTTTTAAATCTAAATTTACTATTTTCTTTCCCCTGACGATCTTGTATAAATGAAATGTATAAGAAAGTAATAATAGTCAAAAACTCATCCGCACGTGCAGCACATTTCATGCATTTTGCTGGATCATGGGCTGCATTCTGAATAAAGTCATCAGGAGGATCTGGAGACAGTATTAAAACATAAAGAGCGCTTTATTTCTGTATTTTCCTCTCGTCTGAAACTAAAGAAGAACATGACAACAAACGCAGGAGCTTCTTAATTAGTTCAGTGGCCAATCAGATCATCAGGATCGCTGGAGGGGCGGGGCGTGCGCTGAACTAATTTGCAGCGGGAAATCCCTCTCTCGGTCGTGAACTCTGTCAGTGAGTGAGTGAGTGAGTGAGTGAGTGAGTGAGTGAGTGAGTGAGTGAGTGAGTGAGTGAGTGAGGTGTTCAGCAGGTGAACAGCAGCTCTGCGTCAGGAAAATGAACAACAGGCTGAACACGACTTCATCCTCAGAGGAGAGCCGCTTTCTGGAGGA